CTTACTAACACCCAGGCCCATAAAAGGAGAATGTCTCGAGTCCGACGACCTGCGCCATGCACTGTCAGAGGAGGGTTGCTTGCAACGCAGGAGTTCATCGTCAACTTCCACCAGGCGCGTGATGAACTTCTGGCGACTCGGCCGTTTGCGAGTTCCTTTTTTCGCGATCTTTGGTTGCGGGCTTGAAGCCGAGGCCCAGGTGGAAGCACCGGGACCTGGGCTCAGCTAGAGACTCCTGTCATCCAGTGGCGGAAGTGCGGGAACATGGCGATCTGAAACCAAAAGAGCTCCTTTTAAGCCGTCTACTTCGTCTACTTCCTCGAGGTCAGCCTCTGCAGCGTTTCATCTACTGGGACGCGCAGCCACCTCCTCTCCACGGCTGCGCCGTTCCCAGAGGCGTTTGGGCTGTGAGTGTCGCTTGCATTGAGAAGGGAGGCTTGGAAGGCACAAGCAACATCAAAAGCTGAAGACAAAGTTAGTGAGGTTTCGTGTTGTACTGCGTCCGGTGCGGGTGTCAAAACATCCACGCAAAAAACCTTGTCATTCGCTCGATTCTCGGCCCGTCAGATTCAGATGCGAGTGAAGCATGGTCCAATGTATGGTCTGCAGTATGGGTTTGGGTTTCGACTGAGCAACAAAGCCTGAAAGGTCGACTCGGAACCCCAGCCAAAGACTTGTGACAAGTGTGTACCAGCGTTCTCTGAATGCACCAAGGCCTTATCATCGCTCACCCCGTTGAGAACGAGACGGATCTTCATAAGGCTTTGCTGGAAGTTCAGCTGCGGTCTTCAGCTGTAGCTTCAGTTCTGGGCGCCTTGTGCGTCAGCGCGTTCCTGCAGGAGTGTGTGGGCGAGGGCTCTCTCGGCTGAACCTGGAGTTAGAGAGGTCCACGCCGCCGTGCTCCAAGACACCCAGCTGCAGGTTGCACACCTCGCCCAGGCGGTCCTTGGCACTTCGGGGACATTTCGGGGGTCGAAGCTCTGAGTCGTCCGCAAAACGCAGGTTTCTGAAACTCGGAGCCCATGAGTGCAGAGTGCAGGTCCCGCGCCTGCCACCCCCGCGCCTCCTGGTGGGCGAGCGGCCTGGCAGGGCCCAATGCGTGGTCTGCTCAGATTTTGGTGGAGATCTTCACGAACAAACATAGGACCTAATATAGGATTGAAGCCTTACAAAGCGCAAGGGGGCTGCAGACTCCGTGGATCCGGGGTGCTTTGCGCGGCCCGAAGGTCAGTTCGGGACGTTAAGGGGCACGGGTGTGTTGTCAACGGAATCACGCTTTTCAGATTACATGCTGCCACGTTTAGATTTTGCGGATGTGACGAGCAAACTTTAGAAATGCACACCTGTGAGCCGTCGTCGGTGTTTCAAGCCATTCACGCTTTGGCTGTAACTTCTCCGACAGACTTTCGAAGAATGGCTAAATGCTCTCAAGACGATAAGCTCTCTGCAATGGCGCAGCTCGATGGGCTAAAACGGTGCGACTTTGAGGGCAGCACGCCTGAGGTTTCAGTCGAAGCGATGTTAATCGGTAGGGACGCTGTCATGCAGTCAGCTTGAATTCAGAGTCATCGTAACTTCCGGCATACAAGTTTCCAGGCTGTGACTGTCCGAAGCGCTCTTAGCTTGTCCCATGTGGATGGCTCGTAGACATGACTGCCAGTGCATGCAGTGGCATCGCACTAGGTTCAGATTGGGAGTCTAGCGGGAGCTCAGCTCGGTATTCCCGCATGCCATGAGGTGCTCAAGGGCACTTTGCAAGAGTGAGCAAAGACATTTGGGTCAAGCCCATACGGGATCGTGGTTAAACGCTTCGATAGCACCACGTATGTCAGAGAGCAGTGACCCCACGCAGGCACACCAGAAATGCCCAGAGCTTTTCATCCTTTGCCTAAGCACAGCCGCACGACTTCGTGACTTCGAAATACCTTCGTATGCAGTGAAGACTTCCTGGGCCTCCAGAGCTGCCACGCGGCCCCGCCAAGTGGCATCGGCCCTCTCTGAGCCGAAGCTGAGGTGTAAGGCTGATCAAGAGGGGAATTTCTGAGCCTCACCCTGTCATTCGGAGCTGTCGATGGGATTGGGTTGAGATTTGGCGAGTGTCTCGTCGGTTTGGGGAGGAAGATCAGAAAGAAGGACCTCCGAAGGCCTTTGAGAACCTGGGCAAGTGCCAGCAGTTCCAACCGTGGTGGACACATTTTTTGTCATAATATGAGTCATAATGTCATGTTTGGAGTTTCCATCTGGGAAGTCTCTCTTCCTTTTGTTTTCCGGCATATAGAAGCAATTCCAAAACCGTGAACGTCAGACAAAGAATGAAGCTGCTCAGAACTTCATAACCGTGTGGCCGTGTGACGGACAGGAATGTTCAAGATGTCTGCGCACCACGAATGAGTATAGCAAGAGCAACAACCGTCATGCTAGTGGGGATTCGCAATCGTCCTCCGAGAACCCCTACGCCCCCCCGAGATTCCTCATTTCCAAACCACCACCGACACACACCGGGGCCTGAGAAAGCCCATGGAGGCCTTAAGTCTCACACCTCCGAGAATTCCGCACCCAAGAGTTCTCGAGGCTACATCAAGCCGAAAGCAACCCCTCAACATCTTGTGGTGTTATCCGGCAATGTACCCTTAAGCCAAGCCCTCAACCCAAAGCCCCTAAACATTGGACGTGAAGACGGCCAGGAATGTCGACGCTGGGCTACCGTGACTCGGGCTCGGTGGTCCTGTCGAAGGCTGAGGCGCTCCGACAGGCGCATGAGAAGGCTGGACCGAATTGAGAGCGTTGAGGGTTTGGGGTTTACTGAGTGCTTGAAGGTCAGGAATTGGGTAAGTAGGTTTTTGGTAGAGGCATAACCAAGTGACACTAGTCTAGAGTGCTTGGAACTTCCCCTCCATGCTGTTTACTAAGTCCCTTGACCCTTCAAGCAGGGCCTCTATGGCCTTGCGGAGAGTTCTTTGCTAGGCGTTGCAAGGATCCTGAATCCATGAGTGAGAAGAATTCATGAGAACAAGTTGGGCTGTGCCGAGTGAAGCTTTTTTGTTTGTTTGTCTGTTTTGTTTTTGTTTGTCTGTTTGTTTGTCTGTATGCATGTATGCATGTATGTATGCAGGTATGTATGCAAAGGTAGGCAGGCAGGCAGGGGAGGGAGAGAGGGAGGGAGGGGGGAGAGGGGGAGGGAGAGAGGGAGGGATCCAAACTTCTATGTGCCTTGAAGCCCAAGCAACCACGGAAAAAAACGCACCAAAACCCCACACCACCTAAACCCACCTTCAAGGATGGCGAGCGGTCGCGGATGATGGTCTTTTCGAAGAGGCAGAGCCCTCCGAGGAGCGACCTCACCGGGAGATGCACGAAGGTTTGGGATTTCAGGGTTTAGGGCTTAGGGCTTAGGGTTTAGTTTAGGGTTTAGTGTTTAGGGTTCAGGGTTAGGGCTTTAGGGTCGTATGCTATAGTTCAATATAGTATAGGGCAATCTAGTATGACATAATATAGGCCATATAGTATATGATATAAAAGGTAGGTACGACATAAGTTTAAGGCTTATAGCTTTAGATTTAGGATGGTTTTCCGTATATTCTAACACCCGCAATGCATCTTTTTGCCGTCATCGCTGTTTTTACAGGTATATTGATTACCCTGTCTAGGGTTTAGGGCCGAGGGAGCTTGAGATCGATAGGGTCTAGAACAGGTCGGATTTCGGATATGTTTGGAGTGTCAAGATTCTCAGGTTTAGTTTCGAGTTAGGGGCGCCTAGTTTGGGCCGCAGCCGGGTTTTGAAACCCTCGGCCTAGCCACCAAATCCTAAAGCCCTAGGCCCTAAACAGCCCCGAAATCCCCAAGCCCTAAAACCCCATAAACATGAAACCCCCTAACACCTCTCCCCTAAACGCAAACCCTCCCCTAAACACCGAAATTTTGACATTCACAAGTCTAATCGCCCAAAACCCTACGTCCATCCCCAAATGCAAGGAAGCGGAAGGATGAGCGGGAGGAGCGAGACAAGGAGGAGGCGGCCGAGTTCGAGATGCCGCCTGGCTACAGGGGTTCAGGTTTTGGGTGTGAGGGTGGTAAGGTTTAGGGCCAAGTTTCTGTTTTGCGAGTCCCGAGGGACTAGGCGATTTGCAGGTTTCTGGGTTGCTTGATACGGTGTTTTCAGCAAGTTCCGATATTGTGTCCAACTTTCATTCTTGGCATCGTCGTTTACGTTTACGCCCTGCAGCGCTAGCACGATGATGTGGAGTTATGGACACAATTTAGTATTACTACTACTACTATTATTATTATTATCATTATTATTATCATTAGCATTATTAAGGACGTCTGGGTCCCAGCATGAGGCCTAGGGCTCTTAGAGACATTCACGGGAATTCCAAGTCTGAATGAAATATCATCAATCTACCACGGGTGCTTCTTCCGACACAGGTCTTGCTACAAGATGCGCAGCGCCCCATGTGGCTACTAAACCTCCTCCCTTACATCTGAGATTAAATCATGGTTAAGTGACTCTGGATGATACCATGTAGCACGTCGAGACGAATGGTTCTCACCTGACGCGCCATAAGTATTATTAGCAATAATAGATTATACACCAAGACCCTCTTCTAATTATTAAGGCCCCTACATTAGGAAGCTTGCCAACATCGTGGCGAAGCGTCCAGACAAGCGCCTGAAGTGGCTCCAGAAGGGCATGCTGCTGATCGGGAGGAGCGCCACTGGCTTCTGAGTTCCAAACCGTCACAGCATGTCATTGCCATTTCTTGTTTACGCCTCCTTTCTTTCTGCAGAGCTATTAGTTGTTTAGATTTCCATGGGATCCCAGGGAGGGGAGGGATGAAAGTCTCTGCCAGGGGCCCTAGTGAGGGATTTTGCGTCGCTTTTCGCAAGCTGTCGGCTTTCGATGATTTCGATGCCAGAGATCTTGAAGTCTCGTGGTGCGGGTATAAGGTGAGCCATCCTTCTTGGCTGAAGGTTTCTCCAGGTGGCTACCCGATTAGGTCACCCTTCAAGTGCTCAGGAAGATGCTCAAGGCCTCGGATTTCTATGAACTGGTCATGGCCACGACCTCGAGCAAAGTCTCTGTGATTTACGACAAACTTTCACGAATTTTGGATCTTGTAGACGCTAGGCCGGGACCCTGCCTTTGCAGCGTGCGTCATCCAAGGACAAGGCTTTCATCTCAGACGCGCCGGCCGAAGTTGGTGCCCCTGTATGGTTGCTATGCCTTACAAGACTCAGCCCAAGAAGAGCCTTCAATTCGATCGTAGATGTTCTTGAACTCCTGTCAGCCGGGAAAGCTTTGTATCGAAGTTCCAGGTAGGAGACCTCAACAGCCAGACCATCGCCAGGTGCCAGGATGAAAGCATCTATCCTCGCCAACCTCCACCTCTTCTCTTCCAAGCAGCAGAAGGCGTTGCAAAGTGACCCTCGGTTCTTACCGGCGGGTAAAGCCTTGTCCGTCCGGCGTTCCCAGTATCAGCCGCACCTGAGCAACCCAAGGAATCATGCCATTTCAACCAGCCGCTTTTCCGCAGATCTGTCCCGGTTCAGCGTGCTTGGGTCCAGGGAACATCAAGGGCACGCCCTTCCTCCCAAGTAAGGTCCCTGCCGCCCTTTGGCAACGTAGCCGCCGAGCCCCGCTGATGCTGATGATGCGCGTCCTTTGGGGGGTTCTGCAACCCACTCCCGAAATTGCAAAGCATCGCCTCGCGCTGAGTGGGCGGTGGGCGAGCGCGCCGAGTGCTGATGATCGCCGGATGCCCTCCTGGGTCGCCCACCGGTGCCCCAAAACCCGCCATGCGGTGGGGAATGGCCGCAAAACGCGTGCGTTGCTCACCCAGACGAGGTCCCGCGCGCGCGGCCCGGTGAAAAAGCGAGGGTCCGATGATGGTGTACAAGAGTCCAGTGGCCACACTTTTCCACTGGAAGGGACGAACAGTGGGGCAAAGGGGGGTTGGGCATGCCTTGGGCTTGAATTAAATGTTTAACAAATTAGAATTCTACTTGGAGGGACTTTGAGGGGTTCCACTGGGCGCTGGGGTTGCTAACAGCGGTCGAAACAGAACTTCTGGGTGCCGGTCCGGTGGGTCGGCGGATAATATTTCATATTACAGTACAATATAGCATGGGATGGTATAGTGTAGTGCGCTATATTATATTGAACTATGTTGCATTGCGTTCTATTCTGCAACAGAAAAGGTTATGGTCTAACTTGTCGCATTCATATTGCATTCCATCTCTCCGCAAGTGCGACCATCCTGAAGTCGATGAGGTTCTCGTCGGCTTCTTCAAAGGACACGCTGCATCCCAAGCAAACATGGGTGCCGAGTGGTCTTCATCTCGTCACGACTACAAGATGCATCAACATGGTACACGTAATGACGTAATGATGATATGGCATGCCCGAATGCAGGCGGACATATTCCACCATGGAAGCTGTGTATTCCAATATGTACTATAATTGCGAGTTTTCATGGCACTGTTTGAAATAGGTAGGCAAGGGAAAGGGAGCAGTCAAAACCGATAGCTGTTACAAGGCTTCATCTTTAGGCCCTCAAACAAATTGCAAAGATTTTGATGATGCGTTTTCATCCACCTCGCCGCTCACGCCTTCAATTGTCAACGTGAAGTCTTCAAGGCCTTCTAGCAAGTTGCAAGACTTGATGCGTTCTCATGCACCTTCCCTCTCACGCCTTCAATTGCCAACGTGACAGGACCGCGCTGCCAAGGAGCCCAAACGCCCAGTCGAGCGCGAAGGCAGGGACTGATAATTGTAATTTCATGGTTCTGTAGGCGCATCTGGATAGGTATTCTGCTGTCTTGGAGTTGGGGTTTCAGTATATTGTTATCCATCTGCGTGATACTTATAAGACAACTGTGCAGTCATGTTAAACTCACTGAACCTGTGTCGTGGCACACTCGAGTACGTAGTGTTCCCGACCTGCATGTTACGCCCATCCACGTGTGTGCTTCTCGCGGCTTTTGCTTTTCCATGCCTGCGCAAAGCTCTGTCATGCATCTCGCACCTTGCTTGTACCACCTCTGTTGGTCGAGACAGATGTGAGGGTCACATGTCTCCGTCCTTCGGAGATCGGGAAGCCAGAGCATGGTCTTTGACTGATTGTCCCACAAGCTGCGATAAGACAAAACACTTTGACGTTTAACCTTTACGAGATGACGTTTTTCCTGTGCCATGAAACAAGAGATGCAGGTGGCGAGGGCAAGAAGAAGCCCCGCAAGCGCAGAGCAAAGGACGCGGTGCCAGCAGTGTTCCGTGATGCAACATTATATTGGCGTCGTCATCAAGCTCCACCATCCCAATCATTCTTGGGGTTGAAGCAGCCGGCCGCTTGCGGAGTGTGCATGTGATTTCTTGTGAGCTGGGTCGCTGCTATCCTGCAATGCCTCTAGTTTGAAGGCTTTGGCATGACCACAAGACGTCTCCTATGTTCATGTGAGCAGACCCCTTGACTAATCCTGTACGGCTATCCAAACGTGTCCGGTGCTTGACAACCGCAGGATTCCAGGGGCAGCGAAGGCACTGCGAACTATGTGGAGATCTCGAGGGGCTGCTTAAAATTAGGATTCTTCGACGCGACGAAAACGTCATGAACCTCATCATAACTCTCGCTACTGGTAATGGAGAAGCTCCAACAAACATCCTAATAGAGCTTGAGGGCAAACCCAAAAAATAAGGGCAGGTGTGCATCCTGGAGAGTTTTTCCCAACCTGACTTTGTTTGTGTAGATAGAGCAGTCCAGTACAGACAAGCGCTTGAGTCGGAACCAAGGGATACTCTCTTGGCCCGAATTGACCCCACGACCGTACTTTGCGGGTTGTCTCCTGGGCAGCTGTGAATTGGTTTAGACACGGCCGCAAAAGATCGCTAACATTGGAGCCCTGGCAGACGATGTGGATTCCCTCGACTCCCGGGCTCCGCCACCACGTCGCCCGCGGCGGGACGACCGGCGGGATGACCGGCGCGATGATCGCCGGGACGACAGGCGCGATGATCGCCGGGATGATCGGCGCGACGAGGAGAGGAAGAGATGAAGGTTGTCGCCGTTGAGGTTCGGACCAGAGTTCAGGTCTTTGTAACGGTACTTAGGGGTTTGAGTTGTTCTCGTGGCTTCGTCTGACTGCCAAGCCCCAACCCCAATCGGATCAGCGGAGCAAGCTCTGCGGCGGCTGCTGCTTCTGCTGCTGCCGCTGCTGCTGCTGCTGCTGCTGCTGCTGCTGCTACTGCTACCACACGACTGCTACTGGCCGCAGGGCCGCCATCGTCGTCGTCGTGGTGGTCGTAGTAGTAGCAGAAGCAAGTAGTAGTAGCGGTAGCAATAGTAGTAATGGTAGTTCCTAGTGGCAGTAGTCGTCGTCGTCGTCGTCATTGGTGAAGGCAACAGAGGAAGTCACGGAAGAAGAAGCAGAAGCGTCTTTACGGCGGAGAGTGTATGGGCTGTCTGTCGGACAAAGGCTGGGAGACCCACACGAGCCGATGCACAGGGTTCGGCTGCATGTTGAAATACAGGGTATGATAAATCAATTCCAGCTTCGGACCAGCGACGGTGTCCATGTGCACGCTCTGGTTGTTAGCGGTCATTTGTGTTTGTGTTTTCGAAATCCTCAAGTGAAGTTTAGGCGTGGCCGCTTCCGTGTCGCTGGCTCAGGACAGAGACCGAGCTGACGACCGTCGCATCTATGCTCGTGGGGCGGCCGACGACGGCTACTGAGCAGGCATGTCGGCATGTCTTTCGAAGAAGTGCACTGATGGGCTTTGCACTGCGAGTACTGAGACCACAACAAGCACCTACTCGTAACTGCCAGTGAAGCAAAAACGGAGAGCCTTAAGTCTGCAACCGGCAGGAGCCGTGGTGCCCGACTGAGAGCCAGTAGCTCCTGACCGAAGCAGAACATGAGGGCTGCAGAGCTTCGAAGGGGATTTAGGAGATTGGTCGGCGTCTTCCGGTTCGCTAAAAGCTGCTAAAGGCTCCTGTTAAGGTGCGGTGAAGCCGTACAAGTGGCAGATGCCTGCCTCGAGATGGCAGCGGCAACAGCTGCTTCTGCTATCCTTACTACTACCAGTACTGCTACCACAGCGGCCTCTGCTACTCGTTCGCACAACAACAACAACAACAACTACTACTACTACTACTACCACTGCCACTGCCACTGCCACTGCCGCTGCCACTGCCACTACCACTACCACTACCACTACCACTACCACTACCACTACCACTACCACTACCACTACCACTACCACTACCACTACCACCACCACCACTATGACGACTACGACTACTACTACTGCTACTGGTACTGGTACTGCCACTGCCACGGCCACGGCCACCTCGACTGCGACTGCGACTGCTACTGCTACTGCTGCTGCTACTGCTACTGCTAATCCTACAGCTGCTGACAGTGCTACTGCTACTGCTACAACGACTGTGCAACATTGTTTGTTTTTAATACTCCTACTGTGACAACTATGACTGTGGATAGTTTTTACCATGATTGCATTGAGCCCGTGTGGAGATGTATGGGTTTGGGGTTTTAGGTCTTGTCGAGCACAGCCTATGAAAGGGAGGGCGGTACTTGGAGATGGGTGGACAGTCGACAGCAGCATACATATCCATTTTCCACCTGAGCCGTTCCCGTTGCGCCTGCAAGTTACACGATGTAACAGTTCCAGCAAGTATTGGCGATAATCCACGATAGTGAACAGTCCCCACAAATAGAACATGTGTGCTTCAACCCAGCAAGCTGGGTTCGCTGCAGCTCTCTGTTGCCACGAGCACCGCGGTGGTGATCATGTTCCGTGCGAAGAGCGAGGGAGCTGAATCTGGGTGCAATCGAGCAATGCCGATGCTATGCAGATGGCTTAGGGGTGCTTGGTCCGAAGCCTTGAACTTGTGGGTATGGTCTGTCCTTCAAGTCGGAGCCTGGAATGAGCATATGCCGCCTGCTGTAGTCAACATGGCATTGGCAGCTCTGGGCGCCAAGATTTGCTTCATTTGAGCCCACTACCCGGGGAGGTCGACCAATGGATCTAGTCGTTCAGGGTCTCAGGCCACAGTAGTCCCAGAGTTGCAGGGAAAAAGTAGGACCGATTGTTTTCCAATACTTCTCAGTGGTACAGCCCATGGGCAGGCAAGCAAACACACATTTCAGAGCGGTTCCGTAGAGTTTCTCTCGACAATATTCGAGAGAAAGGAACACATAAGCTCCTAGCCCTTTGATGCATCAACCCGACGCCCCACGTGCTCCGAACTCTGTGAGCGGCATGACTTCACCTCCAAGCACCTTTGCAGTTTCTATGGAGAAAAGAGGCGGCTGAGCTGTTGATGTGCATGAGCCAGCATCGAGTAACCTGTTCAAGATTCCAAGCCGGTGTAGTGTCTTCTATTGCTCGCTGCTACCGCAACGAGTCTGACGACGGAGAAGGAGGAGCCTCGTCCAACACCCTAAACCCTATAACGCCTCAATACACTTTATGTGCCCGATCAGCTGAACATGACCAATATAAGCCCTTAAGCAAGCCCTAAAAGCCCTAAATGCGCCCTTCAACAAGCCTGACAAAAAGAAACCCTAAACCCTTGTGTTCCCCTTTTCTTTGTGGTAGCGATCGTCCAGATGGGAGCCCTGGGGTAGCGCCAGTATGGGGGAGATGTGAGTGGTCCATCCCTTTGTTAGCAGGGTTCCCATCACCATGCCTCAACCAGACTTGGTATTCCGGACTCCCTTGGGCAGAGGAAAAGAGGTGATAAAAAAAAACCGAAACCCCTAAACCCTAAACCCCTACACCCTAAACCCCGAGACCCCAAGCCCTATGAGCCCTAAACCCTAAACCCCTAGACCCCTACGCCCTAAACCCGATGAAAGTGGAGGCCCTGCCCCCGGAGCCTCCGAGGCGCCGAGTGCAGCCTCCCTGGCTCGTCAGGCCGAGGTTCCCATCGCCAGCTGCGTTTAGGGTCCAGGGTCTAGGGGTTTAGGGTTCAGGGTTTAGGGTTTAGGGTTTAGGGTTGAGGGTTTAGGGTTCAGGGTTTGGGGTCTAGGGTTTGTTGGGTTTAGGGTTTTTGGGGCCGTCATGATTGGAGTAGGGTTTTGGGGTGCATTTTTGTTTCGCTGTACAAGGGGCCTTCGTGATTAGATTGATTAGAATAGGGCTTCCGAGTACAGTATAAGTGTAGTACAGCTGCATCTGGAAGTTGATAGTATGAAATCCGCTTGTGTTGCGCACAGTGGCAGCGCCGCAGCGGATGGTTGTGTAGGAGTACTTGATTCAGTCATTGTCGTGGTGTCACTGCAACGTTCTCTTTCGGTTGGTGTCCTGGTTCTGAGCGTGGACATTCATGTGAGTGCCGCGCAAGCTTTGCAGAGCCTGTCATGCTTCATGTGACCTGCTACAGGTCCGCCTGAGCGCACCAAACACCGAGGCCAAGGTGCGAAAAGTTTCCCAGAGGGCCCTCTCGGTACGGAGGGAGCCGTCGAGCGTGGAGAAATGTCGAGGATTCGAATTTGGGACTGGCGCGCTGCTCGAGCCGGCCAGGCCTTTTGGACGTCAGATCAGCTGGGCAACCTCTCTTCGTGCAGTCCTCAGACTGGTGTTCCAGCTGCAGGCTTCTTGAAAGTAGGTGCAAACTCTTATACAATCCTGTAACAGCCATCGGCACACTCTTCACAGCCGCGGCCGAACACCCACAGCTTTCCCAAGAGTCGTAAAAAGGCACCTGAGGAATTTTATTCGAGCTTAACGTAGGGCCTCAATAAGCAGATTAAGGTTTCTATCAAGGTACTCTAACAGATTACAACATATGATGTCTGCCAAAAGAGCTCATCAGATCCCAAGCTGCCCCAATAATCAATAATCCCACCCTAAACCCTAACACCCCCCACTCCTTAAACTCCCGAAACCCCGAACCACCGCCCCCTTCTTCCCCCAAAGTGCACGAAGCGAGCTGGCAGTTTGTTTGTTAGGTGCCTCGCTGCCGCCTTGGGGCCTGCACCTCGCTGTGAATGGCCGGAGCCTTGAGCTTTTCTCCATTTCTCTCCGTTATGATTAGGGGTTGACTGGGGTTGAGGGAAGATGTGGTCGACTTTAGAGGATAAGTTTCAGTTCAGGTTCGCGGTTTGGGAAACGGGAGCATCACGGACGTCTATCCGGGTTGGCTGAGCATCTGGGAGTTGGGAAGAGAACAGCAATGCTTGCAGCTGTGACGATAGCAAAGACGGGAAAGATGCCAGAATGCAACGCAACGTAGCACAGCGCGGCACAGCACAGCACAGCAGAGCGGAACAGAGCAGAGCGCTGCAGAACAACACATAAGCAACACGCGATAAAGCAATATTGCATGAACAGTATGTTCAGCATATCACAACATCAATTGTGCACACATGTTTGAATACCAAAATATACCCATGCAACTGTGCCTACATCAATACTTTTCTCTTCGTCTACCATGTGTCTGTCCATGCACGGATATGTTGATATATTTGAATTGCTGCCTATCTGCGTATCCGTGAGTCCGTGTATCTTCATGTTCGTGCATCGTTATCACACTGGTAACCGTTATTCAGTACTCATACCTAGATGTATATTGTCATCTGTGTACCCGTCCGTCCGCGAGTTTATCTTTGTCTCTCTCTCTCCCTCTCTCTCTCTCTCCAGCTCACTCGCTCACTCGCTCACTCTTTCTCTCTTTCTCCCTCCCCATCTTCTCTCCCAGGTCGCCGACCAGTGCCCAGTTCTACGGGTTGAGTGGGAGCCTGAAGCGAATAGCATGGGAGGAGTCTTACGGGCTTCTGGACGGGGCTGTCTGGCGATGCGTTCTCGCGGTATATACAACAGAGTTAGGATCCATTCGTGGTCTCGAAGGCCAAACTAGCAAAAATGCCAACAGAGGAATGTCCTAGTAGATTTCTAACTTCCCACAATCACAATGAAACAGAGCAAGTGAATAGTGAAGTCAAAGGAAACAGCAGACTCACAGTACAAGCTTGAAGACAAGAAACAAGCCCACCCGGCATGTGCATGTTCGCAGGCCATTGGCCACCAGCACGAAGCGTGGACGAGTGTGTGCGCTGCCTAGAAAATAGAGCGGGCAAGTGCTGGATGTGGTCTGGCAGGTATGATCTGACCCTGGGGCTGTTCGGGCTTAACGTCGTGGGTAAGCGGCTTGTCTTGAGCCTGCCAAGTCCAGATTAGTAAGGCTGCTTCACATGGCATATCCGAGTGTTGATAGCCCCATAGTTGGGGACAACTTCCCCCAAGCAGTCCTGCAATGTATTTGTGCCCACATAATCGCCAGGGTCAGCATGTGTTTCATTTCCGCCCCGATCTGTTCCTGTTGAAACAACTTGGCATGGGTTTCAACTCATGTTGGAAGCGATGCAGGTGTGCTTAATCGGACATTCCTGGTGCGAAGCCAGGCCATCTAGAATCTAGGCTCTAAACATCAAGCCATTGCACGTGCAACAAGTAATAAGAGCAATCCAGGTGCAATGATCGCCACAGTTGGTAAATCGCAGGTAGAATAGGGGGTGCCGCAGGTGCAAGTAACTTGGAGGGAAGTCATGAGTGTTGAGTAGAATCTTGCAGCCCACTTATTAAGGGTCGAGTTGATGGCGTAAGGTTTCAGCCTGAGGCATTCAAGAAAACCCTTCCTCTTCCCACAGATGTACTGCTCAGGTGGAAGCCTGCTGTCGCTCAGGCCAGCTATTAGCTTTTCAAGGGAGAGTAGGTACTCTATGATCTCTAGAATGTGCGAAGACTATAATAGGTTTCATTGAAATCTCATGCATGCAATCTGCGCTTGCAGTGTACAGGTATGCATCTCTGTAGATATTGCTGGCTTTTCACTTTGAGCATGGGATCGGGGACGGCTTCTGCACCACGTGTTCCCCGAAGCTTCCAATCTGAGCTAAGAGCCGAATCGCAGGAACTTCTTTTCAGTGGATATGTCTCATCACTTTCATACAAATAGCCTCTGTGACCTGCTGCACTGTATCTCCGTGCAGGGTGCCCCTCATAGTGCTTCTATGCAGTGTAGATCGCCAACATGGCAGGCGCAGAGTGCTCCCTGTTCCAGTACCAGGTCGATCAAGGTGGCAGTCATTAGTTGGATTCGTCTTAGGATTCTGGGTTTTTGTTGGCTATGTACCCTGATATACCACAAGAATCATCTATAACAGTTTTCCTACCGTTTGCGCCCATATGCCAGCCCAAAGCCTGCCCCGGCTAACCTCCTTTTCTTTAGCCGCACAACGAAACTGCCTTCGTGTCTGGTATTTTGTATCTGCGTGATGTAGACATCTATATATATATATATACACGCAGACAGGCAGTAAACTCTTTCCATCTATCAGAGCTTACAAGGTCCTTCATCGTTTTCTGGTATCCTTCCCGGCATGTGCTAAAACTTGTATACTACTCTGTACTTTCCCCCTTTGCAATTGGTACACGTGCATATGAACAGGCTTGTTGTTGTCATTGTTCTTGCGGTCATTGCTGTTTCGTGTTGCCGTACGGTCCTTGAGTCTGAGGCTGCTGGCTTGGGCGATGGGAGGAGGCTCAGGCAGAAGTGCATCAGCTTCGGGATTCGGGAGCTGATTTTTTTGGCTGTGCCGCTGAGTGTGCACCGTTTGGTGTGTCGATTGGGAGCACAGAACGAGCAAAAGCAGTCGCCCCAAGTTTATGTACCTATGCCATAGCATGAATTTATGTGCATGCGCGCATATCAATCTTCCGGCTTCCTGCCTTGGTCTTGGCTGCAGCCCGTCGTGTCCGAGCTGACGTTCATTGGCGGCGCCCCTCTGTCGCCGTTTGATTGGGGCGGGAGTCAGACGCATTGCTCGGTTGAGTTTATCAGGCTGGGTTTAGAGGGTGCTGCTTGCGAGCCACTTCGGTCCTTCGGTTGAGACAGGTCAAGATGGCCTAAGCGGCCACGAATATCGAGGCTCTCCGGAGCAGCTTACTGCCTGTTTCAACAAAGCGTGGCACAGGATCAAGACGTTGATTGAGTCATCACACGAACTAGTTTCTGGACCTTTATCACTGCACGCTCCAGCAGGGAGTTAACAGGGATACTGATACTGAGTCGTCAGCGGATGCAGGAGGACGACTTCGTGCACTTGGAGATCCGGCCTGCGCAGAGCACTGGGAGAAGAAGCACTCCTCCAAGACAGCATCAAAAGAGCTTTCTTTGTGTGCTAACCTCGAGTCAATTCTAGAGGACTCGCTTAAGGCGTGAGGCAACTTGGCTTTCTGAGTAGTGCAAGAACCGAAAAGCTGAGATGCAGAAAGATGTGAGGGCGACGCTGGTTGACGATCGCGATGGGCGGTTCGGCCCTTTGGCCCGAAAGCCTCTTCCAATAGACCCAGGCTTGGTCCCTGCAGCCTTTACCAAAGCTAGACGGCTAGACCGTGAGCTCCCAATTTCGGAAGTGATCCTGAAGCTTGCCGTCTGTGGAAACATCTACCTTGAGCTAGCTTTGACCCAAAAGCTTACCGGCTTCTCTCGAGCTTTGCAATGGCTCCTTGCAAGCGGACTCGGTCTTCTGCCGGGCACGCTGGGGGAAGTTTGGGCTTTGCGATCTTTTGGAGACTCCACCCATTTCGACCAAAAAGGTCGTGGGTTTGAGGCTGGTCCAGTTATTTGCAGTGACCAGGCTGGCTTTGCTCCTGGGATCTCTTGGCCTGGGCCCTTTGCCTGAGATATTCTGCTTTCTGACTTCTGAGGCTGTTGGTCTTGCGTGTTGTACATGAGAGAATCTTCAACTTAATCAGGGAGTGACGCTTGCTTGCTTGCCGTCATGATGACCAAAGCCTACACGGTAATGCAGCACTGCACTCTTCCTTGCTGGGGTTAAGGTCGAAAAATGTGTGCTTTCTCAGGCCACTTCGCAGGCTTCGTGTCTGCGCCTTCAGGGAAGAGCCGCTCGCCTGGACTGGCTTCCTTTATAGTAACCTCTATAGTCTATCCCTTATAGCCTTCTTAACAGCTATCGTAGTGCAAAGGCCTAAGCCCTAAGCCCTCATAAGTTACGATGTATAACCCTACGCCCTAACCCCTAAATCCTTCTGGCCCTAACCCCCGAAACCCTCAGCCCTTATACCCAGAGCCCTAACCCGCTAAAACCCTCGGCCCTTACCCATAGGCCCCTAAGTAAATCCTTTTCGTGGTTCATGTTTAGAATCCTCTCAGGTAATCCCAAAAAGGACCTACTTAGGAGCCTCTGCAAAAACCCAAGACCCTAAAACAACTCTTGAAGCCCCAGTCTTCCGAGGCACAGCTCCGAGGGCGCCGCGTGCGGCCACGGAGACGGAGCCGAAGATCTCCGAAGGCCCGATTTCGGAGTTCGGGAGTCTGAGTTTAGGGTGTAGAGGTTAGGGTTTAGGGTGTAGAGTTTAAGGTGTAGAGTTTAGGGTTTAGGGTGTAAGGTTTAAGGTTTCGGGTGTAGAGTTTAGGGTCCAGGGTTTAGGGTTTAGGGGGTCTTTCGGCTTTCAACCCGATCAGGGGTACTAGGGGGGTTCTTGCAAGGCTGATGCTAGAGGGGTTTCTACAAGACAAGGCAAGGGTTACTGTGAGGGATAGACTTTAGGGGATGCTAAAGGCTTACCATAAGGCTTACATTTGGGGGATTATCAGAAGGGATCCCGCAGGTGTCCTATCATACGTGTTGCTACAAGGTCCAGTCGAAAGAGCCATCATCCGAAGATTCTTTCTGAGTTAGCAGAGACGGCGAGAGACACCTCGGGGCCGGTCTGGATAAGGCCGTAATCCGTACGGGGCCCCACCTTGGTGTGCATGCCCACCCCAAGTCCGTTCCACTGCAGGGATCAGCCCTGTCCTCACATACCTCGGCATAAACTCGATGAGCCTGGAACCTTGGCAGCATATGCGAGTTTCTTGAATGAGGTGCGTGTAGGTCCTGACTGCGGATTCTACTGGTTTGGGTCTCTGCTGGGGGGTTCCATACATTCTTCAACTCCCGGTCCAGGCGCCGAAGGCGCGGCAATGCAATGATAAAGCGAAAGCTGCGTTGGTAATCTGCATGCCATCCACAGCAGTTAAGATTATGGCTCAGAAATATATCAACATGTACATTCTCATCTCGCAAATCCAAAAGCAAACATGTAATCCCTCAGAGCACAGTGTCCGCTCCAAGTCAGCAGGAAATTGGCGAGCAGCGCCTGTTGATAGATCCACTGCTCGTTGGCAGCCTCGCAGCTGGGCCAGAAGCCTGTGGTGTCGGCGTTTCTGCATGCACTTGGAAGTTTCAGAGAGCAGCTTACTTGGGGTCTATACAGGTGCACTGGGTGCCCTTCTTTCAGAAGCTCCTTCGCTTGGCCTCTATGAGTTTCAGATGGAAGGGCCCTCAGCCCCCAAAGCCCTTTAAAAGCCCTCAAAACCCCCGAAGACTAAACCCTAAAGCCCCCCGAATCTCACCAAGAGTTACCCCAAACGGAAGCCCCAGGTCTTTTTCGGCCAGCGCTGGGCCTTCCGGGGCCGCTCGCGGGCAGAAGCCGTGCCAAAGCCCGAGGCAACGAGGCTTCAGGGCTTTTTTTAGGGCTTGATAGGGCGCTTATAGAGCTTTTATAGGGCTTCATGGGATAAAACAGGCGTGGGGCGAACCTGCGCTTTCCACCTGAGCTAGACCAAAACAAGCTGTGGGTAACTGTGGTAACACCGGGAGCAGAGACTCGTCAGTGTGGTTGGAGACCTGTCCCTGAACCAGCGAAGGGCCTTTCAGGCTCTTTGGTTGCTTATGGTTCATGGTGTCGGCAAGGGCCCCTTCTGTGGTCAGCAGGGCCGATGCAAAGGCAATTATTTGCTGTGGCATTCTGCGGCATGCCAGAGACTGATCACAACCCGAAGCCAGTGTTGTCGAGGTTTGAAGCAGGGCCCGTTTGTAGAGATTTGAAGCAGAGCCCGTGCCAGGACGTTGCAGAAAGCTTTGACGCCATTGTGTTGGAGCCCTAGCTGATGTGGATGTAGGTCCTTCGTTCGAGATCCGATGCGTTTTTGCAGAAAGCGGGGAGCATGCCATCAAGTTTCCCTCTCCAGGGGCTTCCCTTGGCTGCCTGTGCGGAGCGTAGTATAGCTTTAAGAGTTCTCGCAGTCCCCTAAGTGGACTGTGTATGTAGCTACAGTGCAGTGATGCCTGTGATGCTTTACAGTTTATACATATTGTTATATATGTGTTGTTTCCTAGTCATTTGCTAACCAGCTATGTATATGCATATATGCAGCACCCAAACCGTGCTTGACAGAGCGTCACCAGCGGACACTTCAGCCCGGCTTTGACTTGGTCTAACTGCAGGCCCGAATCATGGCTTTGGCATACGACCCTGTGGCTATGCTGAAGAGCTACTTCCGGCTGAGCTCCGAACACCCCTTCTGTCCCTATAATATAGTCCTGCTATAAGATTATACATAGTATACTCCCTGCAAAGCCCAAACTCTACACCGAAGCCCCTAAGGCTGACGCAAGGCCTGGACGACCACACGCACCGGCCGACGTTGGAGCAGGTGGACCGGAGGCCCAGCTTTGAGTTGAGGGCTTCGGGCTAGGGTCTCGTGTCAAGGCTCAACGATTGTGCTTGGACCTTAGGAGTTTGGGTCCAAAAAATGCCTACAAGGATCAGAGCTCTTGAATTGCACTACTCGTTTTAGGGAGCATGGTTTTTGCAAGCGGCGCGAAAGAATCTCAGAGACGATATCCTGGGATCCCATCTCGCCAGGATGCCCATCATCGCCAATCCTAGTGCTGCCTCCGTGGTGAGGGCCATGGGCTTCCAAGGCTCGGACACGAATCAGGCATGGGGTTTAGGATGGTTTAGGCATTTGGGCTTGCTTCTTGTGTTCCATCCTTATGTTCATCGCGCAGTGGGTAGAGAGACACAGTCAGTTGACAGGCTAAGGTGTCCGAGTGCCGCGGATAGACGAGAAGGGGGGGGGTTATCATTGGCACTGGTGCGAGCTTTCGACATATACGTATGCCTGCACGATGCACGTTTAGGTAACTTGCTTCTTGAACATGCCCTGGCCCCTGAAGATGTGTCCGTGTTGCGGCCGGACGAGCGCCTCGCAGCAACAAGTTTCCATGATGTTCCATCCGTTTGGCAGAATCGCGCTTGCCGATGTCTGAGCAACATAAAGGTTCCCGAGCCCTATGCTGCTAGTAGACAGTGGAGAGCAAACTCCGGAACACTTAGCAGCCCGCCCAGGCTGGGTTCAGCAGAGTTGTCAAGAAAGAATGCAGCTGTAAGCACGCGACAGAAAGCACCATCTCCATAAAAGCCCGCAGTCCAAATTATGCAGCATGGATGTTTGGGGATCAGCGGCAACAGGGGGCCCCGGCTAGAGCTCCCTCAAATTTTGTCTTTGTTGGGAGCCTCTTTTCAATTCAGTGATGAATTCCCGATTCTTTCTTTTGGTTGCTGGGCTGGAGGTCTCTCTCGCGGGGGTCCCTGCGACTCACGGCAGTGCCCGGAAGTGTGGTGGGGCCGCCGTGGCAGGCAGGGGCATGGGTGAAATGTACATGTATCTCAGTGTTATCTCTTCCTTTAACTTGTTTTCTTAATTCCTTCCTTGCTTTCGTTCTCTCTTTCTTTCTTCATTCCTTCGTTTCTTTCTTTCTTTCTTTCTTTCTTTTGTTCATTCTTTCGTTCTCTCTCTCTCTCTCTGTCTCTCTCTGTCTCTGTCTGTCTCTTCTCTCTCTCTGTCTCTCTCTCTCTCTCTCTCTCTCTTTCTCTCTCTCAGTCGC